TCAACTGTTACATCCAGTGCTTGAATTGAAAAAGTAGTTGCCAGTACTCCCACGTTCACATGTTGGCGTGTGTATTGGTTGGTACACACAAGGAGGAGGCTGGCTTGAAGCTTGAAGGAGAATATTAGCACAGTGGCATCCTGATGCTATACTGCAGAGGCACAACCTGAATGAGTAACTAATATAAATTAGTGTTAATGTAATGTTATACCATTAAATAAAAAGTATACTGGTGATATATGCAATAATGAATTACTGTGATAATGCATTTGGACCAGTGACTGTGTTGCCCTGACCGCTTTCTTTAGCGCTCCTAGTGGCAGCGGAACAGAATTGGCTTCAGCCCACTCTCCAGTGAAGTCAAGACAGTAGTAGTAGATCTGATCACATCACTATAACCAATCCTGCTTCAGACTGATGTCAGCACCACCCACTCAATTAGCATACGCGCACAAGCATAAATAAATGTGGAAATAAATATATAAATAAATCAATAAATGTAGAAATAAATATATGTAGAAATACAGAAATAAATGCATGTAGAAATGCATAAATAAATACAGAAATAGCCTTTTTTAATTTCCAAAATAAATTTTCTTTTCTTTTCTTTCTGCATTTATTTATTTATTTATTTATTTATTTATTCATTTATAGATATGTCATTTTTAGTCCCTCATATATTTCAGGATACATCTTACTGAAATGTCTTTGAAACTCGGGGGAAACTCAAACTCAGTAAAATATAAAACATTAAATACTTACCATACAAACATAGTAATTACACAGTCCCAAATGATCTGACTTGAAAATCTCCCAACTGGAGGGGTTTTCATATCATATTTAACCTATATCGGTGAAACTAGGCTCTGTTGTATGGAGGGATTATTTGGTCAGAACTAAAACTAAAAGTCGAAATCCGAAACTAAAAGTCGAAATCAAAAACTAAAAGGCGCAGTCGAAAATGAATTTGGTATTTAGAATTGGGGATTTGGTATTTAGGATAGGGCATTTTGTCATTTAGCCATTTAGGATTGGGGTTTTGGGGATTTGATGTTTGAGGATTGAGTCGTGTATGCAAATGAGGAGGCGTGGCCCAAAGGCTGCAGGCAGGGTTTGGAAGGGCTGAGGCGCAGAGGCACTTTATGGACTGCAGGGGGAGCTCTGACTGCCAGCACACTGCCATGAAAGCAAGCAGAGGAAGTGAGCAGGGCTGGAGAGAGGACTATCATTTATAATACCATAACTAAAAGTGTACAGCATTTCTGTCCATGTGGCCTCACACACAAAGTCAACAGTGAAAGGAATGCTATCCATCTGACGAGAAAGCAGCGGACAGTACAGCAGGTAAGATATGATAACGTTACCAAGTTAGCTATATTAGGCCAACTGTTGCTGACATGCATGAGTTACGTTACTGTCGGTACATGCAGGTTTTAAATGTGGCTATTAACCCCGCTGAGGGCTGTGTGTATAAACTGTAAAGATAAGGTGTAGAAGCTGTGTTTCTGGGTAATAGCATTGTGCTGGGCAGGTGACAGGTGTGTGTTTACAGTGTTTGTGTGCTCTGAAAAACACAACAGCGCAGCTATGAAGTCTCAGCCGGCAGACCTAGTATGGTATTATTACTACACACGTATGGATGTAACGTTGAGGCCTGATAGACATCTGCTAATCAGAAACAGAGGACACTACCTGCATCACTGCAGATGTCATTTGACCAGGGAGTGAATGGTGATTAATGCGATTGTCATCAGTTATTTCCTAGTGTTTGTTTTGGGGTTCTGGGTTGCACTAGCTCTGTATTATGTAAGGTTAATGGGTTCTTAGGTTCATAACACATGCACCCCCTTACATATTGTTTAGAGTGTCAGTGTGTTTCTTCATGTATTGTTTTGTGATACTTTTGCTTTTTGGTATTGTTTAATTATGTATTGTGCTCCAGTGTCCTGTACACAAGCAGGGCATTGTTAAAAAGTAAGTGATAGATCCCAGTTTTACCACAAGAGGGAGTATACTGTTAGTGAGTTATGTTAGGAGCAGCCTCAGCAAGGCAGTGCAGACCATGCTCAATGTACCAATCTGTTTGTGTATGTTGCAGGTATGTTGCAAGCAGACATAATATATGAATGGAACGTACACAAGTAAGTAGACGTAAATAGTCCATGTATCACCCACTTAAGACCTTGTGGTGGTACATATAAGAAATTGTGTCTGTAAAGCCTGTAACATGACTGCACATGCAGCTGTAATAAACAGGAGCTACAATACAAATCTGTATAATGTAGGAGTTGTGCCAATGTTTTCCTTTATTGGTATACTGTTAGTGAGTTATGTGAGAAGCCTCAACATGGCAGTGCATTTCTGTAACTTAACGTGAGTCTGAACTGACCATGGTGATAACATTGTTTCGATCTGTTTATGTATGTTGCAGATTTAGGAAAGATATTCAAAGCCACACTGAGTTTTTATTCAGATGTGCAACAATTACTTCTCTCCTAAGTTAGGGCATAAACTCGACACTAGAGGCTTAGTAACAGCTAGTTAGATTTGAACAAAAACAGTAACCAAAATTGTATGCAACATGATTAATGTTGGGTATGGACTAAATGGAGTTCCAAAGTCTTTGAACATCTACAGATAGTCTTCAAAATGCATGTAAAATAGAGTCAATTTGAACCTAGACGAATTTTCTACTGCAAATCACCACAATCTTTATTAATGGGTTGGACTGTGACTTTACATTAACAGGTATTAGAGTAAACTGTCTTATCTGTTTGATTCATAATTTCATCTTCAGTTATTGCCACCTGCATTTTGTGCCCATCAGCTAAATAAATCCAATGCAACATACAGAAGGATATCAGCACTTTATAAAACAATGAATGTGCTTCACTGAATCAAATGTAATGGTGTTCAGTCATTAGTCCTTCCTCCACTACAGTTGTTTTAGATAAATGAAATGGTCTGTGTTAGTATGAATTCATATTTCTAGTGCCACTGGATTAAAATCGAGACTTTGCTTTTTATTTACTCATTGTCATGGTGAATTGTAGTTTTCTTTTCATTCCCCACGTACTAACTCAGTGAACACACTCAGGGTTGATTGAACTAGTTTTGATCAGCTGTTTAAGAACTGAAAACTCAGTTTCACATCTCAGGCTCAATCAACTCAGAGCTCCTGCCTCATCATCTCTCCTTTGCTTCCTAGTGTTTTCTTTGTGACTAACCTTTTGTTTCTTGTACCTCAAGATCACCGCCTGCTCCTCTGCCTCACGTTTGCCTTCTGCTGGACAGCCAGCCATGCGTCCCCCATCCGCCACTGCCCAGGTCATCTCGTCTGACATTATTCACAGACTTCCTTCAGATGCCTTCAGATCTCCAACCCTAGTCATCTTTCGTTTATCTAATGCCCCTACACCATCACAATACTGTGGGCACAATGCATAATTTTTCACCTACTACTACTACTACTATGATCCCAAGGAGGTGATAAAGCAGCTAAACTCCTCCACCTGCACCTCCACAATTTTTTTCCAAAGAACCCCTTAGATCCATCTGTGATAAGCAACTACAGACCAATCTACAATATCCCTTTTCCTAGTAAAATATTTGAAAAGGATGTCTACAAACAACTGCATAATTACCTGTCCCTCCACAATCTATATAATGTGGATCAATCTGGCTTCAGAACCAACCGCAGCACTGAAACAGCTTTGAAGCAGTCAGTGATCGAAAGATCAACAATGCTGCAAACAAACCTTCTATCCTAGTATTTCTAGAACGGACTGCAGCCTTAGATACTGTCAACCACAGCATTTTAATCAGTAAACTAGAAAATTAATTTGGGCAATGTGGCCGTGTCTTAAAGGGGCTCTCTTCCTATCTAACTGGAAGGACATTCTCTGTGTCTCTTGACAACTTTTAAACTGGCAATTATGACATTTTCTTTGAGGTCCCACAAGGCTCAGTTGCTCATTTTCACATGATATCCTCAGCCGTTTTAATGACCTCGACAACTGTATCAGTGACATCAAGTACTGGATGATCAAAAACTTTTTGCGAGTAAAAAAAAGGTTGAGATCCTGTTGGAGAAAACAATATTACCATTATGACCTTACTGCTGTTTACATTCTCCCTGACACAAATTTAAAAAATGCAATGGACAGTTACTTCTTGGGTGTATATGTGTATGTATATTTATAAAGTAATAACTGTATAGGCCATGTTTTATGTTACCATATTCAAATGTATATCTAACTATCTGTTATGTTCTGTGTGTGTAGCATAAGGACACTACAAACTTTCCTGCCCTATGGAATAAAGTTCCTGAGTTTTGTCTCCATGTGATGGGTCCAGGTTTTGTCAACAGTGCCACTTCAGATCAATGTAAATGGGGGAAGAACAGGGCTGCGTTAAATATATAATGTTGCTTCTTAAACTGCAAAACTTGGAAATTAGAGGGTCATGGCTCAGAAGGTAAATATTTATATCTTACAAATAGTTTTTAAAAGACTTGTTTTCAGGATGAAAAAAATGACGTCAAATAAACATGTGCAGGTCAGGCCTTGTGAGGTGACGTCGCTGTCTCTATCTGTCATTACCTGGCGAAGGAAGCTTCTATACATAATTGAAGAACACTGATTTTGACATTTAATTATCGTAAAATTGGAAGTATAATGAAATGTTATGCCTATTTCCACTTTTATTTTGCTGCCTCTGCAAATTCTTCCAAAGACCGCAGAACAAATAGCTAAATAACTCATAACTAAATAACTAAGCCAAATTAGCCCTAATATCTTTCTAATTTCCGCGGCACCCACAACTAGAAGCAAATAAGGTATAGCCATAGACTGGGTAGCACAACACTTGATCATAGAAACTGTGCAAGTCCATAGGCTGTATGATCATGTATACTAGTTAAGCTAAGACTGCACTAAAGGAAATTCAGGTGCAACAGCAGCAATTATATATGGTGAAAAAGTCCTGAGTGGATCCAGAGGTTACTGAATAAGCTGTAGCTGTAATTTCCAACTTGTGGTGTGACCAAGTGGACTGGGACTCTGCTGCAGATGGCTGATCCAAAGCTGTGACACCAAGTGGTCCTTCATGTCCAGGTGAAACATCTTTGTCTGCAGGGGGGAGGACAAGTCAGTGGGGGAAAACAGTGGAGCTTGCGTACACCTCTAGTGTAGACTTTAGGCCCTAATAGGCAGCTAAGCGGGAGCCAGGAGCTGTCAGCAACAGTTAGCCTAATATAGCTAACTTGGTAATGTTATCATATCTTACCTGCTGTACTGTCCACTGCTTTCTCGTCAGATGGATAGCATTCCTTTCACTGTTGACTTTGTGTGTGAGGCCACATGGACAGAAATGCTGTACACCTTTAGTTATGGTATTATAAATGATAGTCCTCTCTCCAGCCCTGCTCACTTCCTCTGCTTGCTTTCATGGCAGTGTGCTGGCAGTCAGAGCTCCCCCTGCAGTCCATAAAGTGCCTCTGCGCCTCAGCCCTTCCAAACCCTGCCTGCAGCCTTTGGGCCACGCCTCCTCATTTGCATACACGACTCAATCCTCAAACATCAAATCCCCAAAATCCCCAATCCTAAACCCCCAACTCCCCAATCCTAAATGGTAAATGACAAAATGCCCTATCCTAAATACCAAATCCCCAATTCTAAATACCAAATTTATTTTCGACTGCGCCTTTTAGTTTTTGATTTCGACTTTTAGTTTTAGTTCTGACCTCCTCATTTGCATACACAACTCAATCCTCAATCCCCAAATCCCCAAATCCTAAATCCCCAATCCTAAATGGCTAAATGACAAAATGCCCTATCCTAAATACCAAATCCCCAATCCTAAATACAAAATGCCCTATCCTAAATACCAAATCCCCAATCCTAAATACTAAATGCCCTATCCTAAATACCAAATCCCCAGTCCTAAATGGCTAAATGACAAAATGCCCTATCCTAAATACCAAATCCCCAATCCTAAATACTAAATGCCCTATCCTAAATACCAAATCCCCAATCCTAAATGGCTAAATGACTAAATTCCCAGTCCTAAATACCAAATTCATTTTCGACTTTTAGTTTTAGGCTTTTAGTTTTAGTTCTGACCAAATAATCCCTCCATACTATTGTTCCACATTATGAATATTTTTACTTTTTGGGGAACTGTACATCTTACTACAAACACTACCTTCAGAAACCGCTTAACTTATATGAAGGCAGAGCTTGACTGTCTCCAAAGTAACGTTATAGGACTGAAGTAACAATAACTAAATTACAGCAGTTCAGTGCAAAGTGAACATTAACCTTACCTCATAGCCAGCTAACTTCAAGTAATGTTAACCTTAGCCTTTCTATTAAAATGACTGCGCCTTAAAAGAGAACTTTTTCACTTACCAGACCAAAGCGCATGTAACAAGGAGCAGCCCCAGATAAGTGTTGACGACTGTGTGGAAGGGTTTCAGCCACTGGTGATACTTTACCACAGTCCAAAAACGAGTGTTAGCAACCGTTAGCTAATGTTAGCATAACAGAAATGCGGCAAACTGACTCCACATACTGCCTCCGGTCATCCCAGTGTACGGTTATAAAATAAAGTCACAGAACAGAAAAAACACTTTTTATAGTGCTGCAAAGAAAACTGGGTTCTCTCCAACTTTGTAAATTAAGTTAATGTTATTAATTAACAGTTTTTCAATCATTCAATCAAACATTGTGCAACATTGGGCAACGAGCTTCCCCGTTTGGTGGGCGTGTCAGAGGTGTTACCCAATCAGCTGCAACACATTTGTAAACACAAAAATACAGCAAAAATCAGCGCTTGCATACACAGCTGTGTTCCAGTCACCACCGTTTCCGTACAAAAAAATATGTTTTGCTACGTTTTGTCATAGACTGTATATAAAAAGCCTTTTGTCTGCTGCCTGGATCCAATGGTGACATCAAGGTCCTCCAGTCGCGCCCTCGCTCACGCCATGCCCCCTTCATATTTCAGCATCATTTGGCGCCAAAACGTCGAAGCTTGGACGTCATCGGTCACGTACGGTATGTATAAGTGGCAACGTGTGCTTTGTGAAAGTAAAACGAGCATCGATGTTCTGTGTATCTAACGTCACGTCATTGGACTGTGGTAAGTCTCTCCTACTTATTGAACCATTGTTTTGTATTTTAACAGAAGCAGTGCTGTAGAATAACTTGATATTGATGTGCACCATAAAATCCAGCTGGCTGGCTTTATCTTTAAACAGAATTTTAAAGGGCTAGCGTGACCGAGTTGATGGCTAGCTTAAATGTGCCATTAACTTGAGAAGCTAAGTAACTTAACGTTACTAGTTAATGTCAAACTAGACCGTGTTGGCAAGAGGTAAAGTTAACATTGTCACGTGTGAGGAGTTGGCTAACGTTAAACAAGTTAACTTTAGTACTGTAGACTTCCCTGCCGAACAATTCGCGGGCATTCCTACAAGGATGTAATGTTAGCAAATTAGTGTCGGATGAATATTAACTGCCTATTTAGCCTAGTGTTGCCTTACTGATTTACTTTCACAGCCCTTTCAAAAGTGTGTTTGACATTCATGTTAGTAGTGGGGCCAGTAAATTGAACCAGGTGGAATGTATTCCTCTTATACAATAACATTAAATACATTTAGTCATTTAACTCCAAAGCAACTTGAAATTTCTATATATGTTAAAGGTGGTTTCTTGCTCAGGGACACATTGATGGATGTGTCACAGTTGAAATTGAACGCAGGTCTCTCACACCAAAGGCACGTGTCTTATCCACTGTTCCACAACCAATAAGTATGCTCATTACTGTATGTAGTTTAGCAAGTTTAGCTTTTGGGTGTAGTTTATTCAAAATGTAACTCTACTTGTTATTCACAGATGTGATTTCTTTTTTGGAAAATTTGTACATTTTATACCCTGCGAAAGCATGATTTAATCCTCACAAATATTAATTTTATTATTTCTAAATGTACCTGCATTGCACCTGCCTCGACTTCTCCCTGCTCTCACTCACACAAACCTTTCAGGGCTCTACAGTGCGACCATTTTGCTCGCATATGCTCCTACCGTAACTACAACCTACAATAATCCCACCTGCCGTGCTACGCTGATAATCGTTATACACCCCGCCCCGAGTAGCGGACAGGACGCGACGCCAAGCTGGTGTTAGTCAAATGAGAGTTGTTGAAACTCGCTGGTGGGTGGGTTGGTCGGTGGCTGCTTGAGCAGCTCGTTTAAAAAAAAAAGAAAAAAAGACAGATGTCAGCAGCTGGAGCGGTGAGACAGAAGACAGTAGGGAGAATATAAGGAAGTTGTGGGTTTGGCTAGCTGGCTATAAGCTATTTCAGGTACCTTTTCTTGAAACATGTTCAACTCTTAATAAAATCGACATACTTGTTAATTTCGCTTCAATACAGCAGATGCACCGCATGCCAGCTTGTTAATTACGTAGCCTAGCAAAGTCATCGTCCATCCCAGTGATTCATTGTTGACATCGTCCAATGCCAGTGTGAGTGTGTTCTCTAAATCAGGGGTTCTCAAACTTTTGCAAGCTGGGCCCCCCCAAAGATGGTTCATTGCAGTTGGGCCCCCCGCCCCCCCTAATTGGGAATTGGCACCAGATCTCTGATATGAATTTATGCGTTGGTTATTGTTATTATTACTAGGCCTAATAGTAGGCATATCATCTGCATTTTTTACAAAAACTTGCAGGCGATAGTCCAGGCAGGTTAATGTGATACCTGAGCCTGCTTTGCCTTGCAAAGATTCTTAATTCGTGGCGCAATGTCTGATAAAAATAGCCTCAAATCATCCTCGATTTGTGCACGATTGCAGTATTTCATTTTGAGTGCAGTCATTTTTGAGAATCCTGCCTCACACAAATATGTCGACGTGAAAGGGAGGAGAATCTTCAAGGCGACATCACAGAGTTGAGGGTATTCCTGCATCAACGCTGCCAAGAATGACGAAAGAGGGCAGGAGGTAAAGAGTTCCTTCAGCCTACTGTCACTCTTTAGCTCAATAAGCTGTTCCTGCATATCAATTGACAGATCGTTGGCTGTGCACACAAATGGATCTCGAACCCATGCAAAAGAGCGATAATCCTCTTTAAAGTATGTGTCACGCCCTGCCAGTTGGCCATGCTTTGTGTTGCACTTTTGAGTTTAGTATCTGCCTTAGTATGTTGAGTTTTGGGTTCTGTCCTGTCTAGTGTCCAGTATCTGCTATATAGTCTGTTGTGGCGTTCCTCTGAGTTATTGTTTGGTCAGTTCATTATCTGTTATTTAGTTGGTCTTTGATTCCATGTCATGTTCTTAGTCTTGTACTTTAGTCCATGTCTTTAGTGTTTACTCCTGGTCTTGTGTTCTCTGCTAAGCTCTGTACTGTGTTCTAGTTCTGTGTTCTAATATTTTGTAATGTGTGCGTTTCTGTGTTGTCGCTTATTCACTCTGCCCCAGATCTGCTTGTCATGTCAAGTCTCTGTTTTCCTCTGCTCTTTCTCTGCCTCGTTAGTCTCATGTCTGTCACCTGTGTTGCTCGTTAGTACCTGTGAATATATATCTGGTGTTTCTGTCTTGTCTTTGTCTGGTCATTGTTCATGTTACCCTCCAGTCTGTCGTGCGTGTACTCTCTGCCTGCCTGTAACCAGCCTTGCTTGTCTTGTCTTGTCTCCCTGTACTTTTGGATTTCTGTTAACCAGCCACTCTGTCAGTAAGTTTGCTCGCCTTTAGTTTGTTTTCCATCAATAAACCCCCGTTGAACTATACCTGCTCCGCTCTGTGTCCTGCGTTTGGGTCCTCCAACCTGCCTCCACACCACTAATCATGACAGAACGTCTCAAATTGTTTTCTCATTGCTGACAGGTGCTCAGACGCTGATTGGAATAGAGAGGAGAAATCGTGTGACGTGCCTGCATCAGTGATAAAGTCTGCAATGCTGGGGAACATGTCGCAGTTCACTCGACTGATGCGGTCATGCCAGAGTTCAAGTTTTTGTGTGAAGGCGTCCACTCTGTCTGCAAGAAGCAAAATATGAGTTTTGCAGCCTTGAAAAGACAGGTTGAGGCCATTCAAGCGATCAAATATATTGACCAAATAGGACAGAGACGCAAGCCACACTGTGTCATCCAGATGCTTTGCCAGATCGGATTTGATTTCTTTCAAAAACCACTTCACCTCCTCTCGCAGCTCATACAACCGCTGTAACACCCGCCCCCTGGAGAGCCAGCGAACTTCAGTGTGCAGAAGCAGCTGTTTGTGCCCTGACCTCTCCTCTCCTGACATCTCCTGGCAGAGGACCCCAAACAAGCGAGAGTTTGGCGGTCATGATTTGATGAGATTTATAATTTTCACGGATTGGTTCAGCACGGAGTCAAAGGGAACCGGAATTTTTTTAGCAGCTAGTGCTTCGCGATGAACCATGCAATGTGTCCATTTCACAAGTGGAGCTACTTGCTGAATGCGAGCAGCTAGGCCACGCTCACTGGCCATCATTGCTCGCGCAACATCCGTGCATAGCCCAACGCATCAGTCCCAAGCCAAACCATTTTCCCAGATAAAAATATCAAGGGCATTGAAGATGGCTTCTCCTGTAGTGTGCGACTGAAGAGGCCGGCAAAACAGGACATCCTCCTCAATTGCCCTGTCCTGCAGATACCTGAAATAGGTGAGGAGCTGTGCCTGCCCAGCAACATCAGTGGATTCGTCCAGCTGCAGCGTGTAGTAAGGACTCGTTTTAATGAACTGTATCAGTTGCTCTCTGATATCATTAGAAATGTCTGAAATTCTCCTAGCGACTGTGTCATTGGACAGTGGTACTGCACCGAGTTTGGCTGCTGCACAATCTGCTATCGTTATTCTGCATGTCTTGCGCGGCCGGCAAAATGAGAGTTTTGGCAATTGTATGTGGTTTACCTATTCTTTTGGCCACAACATACGATGCCTCCAAACACTGTTTAGACAGTGCTGTGCACTGAAATGGTTGCCTGTTGCTGATTGAGGCCATCAAGCTTTCTTTTAAAATATTCAGCCGGTTTATCCTTAATGCCAGCATGCTTTGTTTCGAGGTGCCTTTTAAGTTTGCAGGGCTTCATGCTGTCGTTTGCCAGCACCTCAGCACACACAACACACTGAGGTCTCAGATCAGCCGTAACTGTAAACCCAAACTGCAGGTATGCTTCATCGTACCTTCGAAGCTTTTTTGCAGCTGGTGGTGCGTCGGTTGCCCTGTTGGTCCTCACTAGAAATCTCTCCATTTTTGTTTGGTTTTGAAATAATTTGGATGTGGATTAATTGTGTTTTCAATAAAGTTTAGGCTATGATGTAACGATGTGTGCGTGTGGCTATGTTGAGAGACTAGTAAATAAATAATAAAGATTTTGCTGGCAATACAGATTTTATTTTAAGACTTAACGATTGTAACGTTAGTCCTTTGTGTGTGTGTGTGTGTGTGTGTGTGTGTGTGTGTGTGTGTCTTAGTCGTGTGGGTGTTGCAACACAGTGAAAAAGGGTAGTTAGCTAAGTGCACTGCCTAACAGTTAAAAAATAATGGCTAGGGCTGAGTTGGGGATAATCTTTAAAAAAAAAAAAAAAAAAGACTGTTTGTGGGATTAGTCTTTAAAAAGACTGTTTGGGTTTTGAAGTATAGGCCTCAGTAAATCGAGATTGATAACAGATAGACTAGCGAAAGCTAACACGAGGCACAACTTGGCAAGAAACTAGACTAGAGTGAATGGAGCTATGTGAGTCAAATGCAGTGATTTATTTTTGTGTGAGAGTGAGTGAAGAAACATTTACATTTACGCCCCGCTCCGTAAGCCAGGGCGGGAACAGCGGCGGCCATGCGCAATTCATTTGCAGCCTAGACGCGAGTGGTGTGTGTCTCCTCTCTGCTCTGACTGCAGGCTGGGACTGCTGCGCGAGGCTACTGAGAGACTGACCACCTGTGAGTGCTTTTGGACGGGGGAGGGGCTCACGGCAGCACCCGCTGCTCGTTGAGCACAGTAACTGCAGAGTGATACGTGCTTTGGGGTCTCCAAACACCACAAAAGTCGCTAGACTTGACGCTAGTCACTTCTGACAAAAAAAAGTCGCCAGGAGGATGATTTGTTTGTGTGTTATAATAGTCCAACCACTTGCATTTCAACATGGGGGGAATTTTCGTGAAATTTTGTTTTTATTTTCCATTTACCATTTTTTTATTTCAGATTTTCTTTCCTCCCTCCCATCATGCCTACTCGCGCCCCCTGGGAGAGTGTCCGCGCCCCCACCGGTTGAGAACCACTGCTCTAAATTAAATGGAGTTTGGTACAAACAGTAACTGCATTACATCGGTGACGGGCCCAGGACTGTTTATAATCAGGCTGCAGCCTCTGCTGCTCTCTGTCGGGACACACACACACACACACACAGCGGCCAGCAGAGCGAGATGCTGCGCCGTCGCGGTGGAGACGGTGACGTTAAGTTCACTCCAAACTACTCAAGTTGTTGACACCTTCGCTCATTAGGCCTACTGTAAGTACATGCAATAAAACCTTCCCGAGTAAAAGACAATATTGTACATGCATGCTATGATTTTTTCTCATATATCATACTGCATGACAGCATGGGCACAAGCTGCTCCCACTGCAACCAAACGCATAGGCTCTCTATACAACCGAGCAATAAAAATTATGGATAAAAAACCAATACGCCATCATCACTGTACCATCCTTAAGAAATATAATTTAATGAATTTTGATAGCTTTAGCAATCTTTGCTTCCTTAAATTGATTCACAAGTGCATTAATCATTTAGCACCTGAGCCACTAAGTTCATTTGTTGAGAGACAAAACAGCATTGGAGTCACTAGGAGCTCCACAAATCATGACTGTAAAATACCATACTGCAGGACCAGCTTTGGACAGACGACCTTCTCCGTGAAGAGCTCTAAACTCTGGAACTCCATCTGACATCAAGACTGTACCTGACTTTAAAATGTTTACTTCCAGGCTTAAAAACTGGTTAAAGACAAACCAAAAGTGTACTCATTTTTAATTAAAAAGTAGGTAAGAGTTGTATATGATATGCATGTTTATATTTTTTTAAATGAAGTAGTGAAGTATGTAAATTCTATTGTGTATAAAAGCCCAACCAGGGACAGGAGTTGAAAATTAGCATTAGCTATAAACTTTATATGCAGCACTTCAGTGACAAGCTTTGTTTTGACACTGTTTGTTTGCAATGTCCCTGTCAAATAAATAAATAAAATAAAATAAATAAATCAACACACCTTGTCTGTAAGGTAAATCATCTCTGTCCTCAGTCTGTCATCCTGTAGGCTATGTTATTTACTAGCACAAGTAAATTTAACTTGGAAATTACCGAAATCTTAAAAACAAGGTAACCAGGTATCGTTACCTGCCAGCACAGGGGAGGAGGAGTGAGTTTTTATTCTTTCTAAACATCACTCAGTATTATGATGTAAACATTAATGTTGCTGCTCTGGAAACAGCATTTAGCTGTTTAAAATATTAAATTGTAATCCTATAAATAATTTTAAAACAACCAGGCATTTAATATGCACACTTCAATATATGTTTGGTTCTGGTCTTACCAAATAACCATCACCAAATAATACTAAAGTATCGATAGTGGTATCATTAAAGAATATGATTGTTAAGCAGTCTCAATAAGGGTATCAATAAAAATCCCCATCCCCATCCCTAGTGCTAAGTGTGTGTGTGTGTGTGTAAACCAGGTCTGCATGCTGACAGCTAATAAGCTATGATAGCTTCCTCCATGTTGGACTCTCCTGCTGTCCATCCAGTCAAAAGCATGAAGGCATATCAGGCTGCTCTGCTACCTCACCCTCTCCAATTACACCAACACACACAGATCCAGATCTGAATGTTTCTATCTCGGTTCAGTTCCCAGATAAGACGCCACGGAGTGTTTAGCTGCTCAACATGATCGTAGCTGTCATCGACTCCACACAGGTAACAGCTGATCAGGACTTCCCTCTGCCGAACCTTTAGTCTGGTTCTGCTGGTTCTTATTATAGGTGGGAATCGCAGGGTACCTACAATACGACACGATACGTGGCTCACGATAACGATAATATCATGATACAGCAATTCTGCAATAATCGATATATTGCTTGACAATCCTAAAGTGATGCATCACGATAGCTGTCTTAACTATTAATACAAGATGCCTGTCAAAAAGTACTATTTGCTGTAAATCCAAACTTTTAGAAAACAGTACAATTCTGCTCAGTCTGTAAATAAAACTACAGAGCAACTATGAAATTATTATCAAAACATTTGTTTATAAAATGCAAATTCACTGAATTATTTACTGCAAATACAAATTGCTGTATACCACCTGAGTCCAATCACATATTAATAACTGTTCAGTAACAGCATTGTGCTGCCCTTTCTCCTCCTACTGAAAGCTGTATTTTTAGGCCACTGGGAATATTGGGTTTGAGTTTTGACCCTTTGGGGTTGCTGTAGCTGTGTGGAGAAGTAGTAGAGTAGCAGATCAAGACAGTGAAATTAGCAGCTCTTTTTTTTATTTTTCACGCAGAGCTCAGGAAACACATACCTTAAGTATTTGCACAGTATGTCACTCAGGATGTTCTACATGTGAAGCAAAATGTGTAGTTTATGTTAAGATTGTATTTTCACGATTGTGATGCTAATACTTAATGGAGATTCCCATTATATGTTAGCATTGAGCTAACTGTCAAAGCGCTTTTTTAAAATTAATATTATGTTTCGATATGATGGGCCGGACGCGACCCTGTATGCAGGATAAGCGGTTGACGATGGATGGATGATGGGCTGGAATATCGATACAGTATCATGGAAAAATGTACAACGATATATTGCCATATCGATTTATTGTTACACCCCTAGTTCTTATCCAGGTTGTTTTCTGTAAGCGGGTCTCTCTGTGTTGTAGCTGCAAGAGCTGATGTGTCACATGATGATGGGGAGCCTGGTGATGTTCAGGAAGGACTCTGCTCAACATCCTCAGTGAGGCACTCTCAGAGGACACTGTCCTCGCGGCTTCCACATGTGTCCACCTGTCCTCGTGGCAGCTTCTACTTCATGTGTCCACAGTTTAGTCTCTAGACTGGGAGTCCTTCGAGCAGTACAGCACCAGGCACCTGTTCCTGGCTCACAGCATCCCCCTGGAGACCATCTTCCCCATCCTGCAGCAACTTAAATATTAAGGTGAGCGGTGTCTAGGAAAGGGTCCCTGTCCTCCAGTCTGATCAGTCCTCTGACTCCTTTTTTCTTTGTGTTCCTAGAACACCTGGAGGCCTTGTCCTGTCTGCTGCTCCGCAGAGAGAAGTATGACAGGAACACACCTGGACACTCGTCTGAGAGACTCCTGGGTCCCCGTTAACGTCTCTGTCTGTGTGTCCCAGGCCCAGTGAGGAGATGGTGAAGATGGTCCTGAGTCGTCCCTGTCACCCCGAGGACCAGTTCACCACCAGCATCCTGAGACACTGGGCGTCCAATCACGACAATAATTGAATAATTGCGGCTGGGAGAACGCGTCAAGGCCAAGCTGATAAAGAACAACAACAATCAGCCCCGCAAGAGACACAGGGGAGGACAGACAGGCTTATTGATCGCTTCAGGAGGGATTGAAAACTGATAGATGATTGTGTCTGTCTCTGCCAGTCTTCACTCAGACCCCCGATCCTTCAGGCTCTGCAGCACGTTCAGGCCAGCTGTGACGAGGTCCACAAGATGAGGCATGCGCGCGCACACACACACAGGTGACATCACTGCGGCGGCTGATGATATCACTTCCTCCTCCTGCAGGGTCAGCAACCTGTTCGCCCTGGTGGAGGAGTACAAGAACTCCCAGACCGGTCCTCCGAAGTCCCGCTGTAAGGCCCCGGCATCCTCTCCTCGCTTCCGCCCACCAACAACGAGGAGAGCGCCTCCAGCAGCGGGTCAGTAAGTAGCCCCACCTCCACCTGCTGTCCTGCTTAATGAACAAGCGCAAAGGATGAGCGAATGTGAGAGTGGCAGAAAGTGACAGTGAAAGTTAGCGGAGAATAAGATCAACATTAAGTTGTCAGGTTACAGCTCTGTCATCTACTGTACATCCTGATAGTTAAATCTAAGTGCTGTGTTGACCACGGAGGAGCTGAGGTTAGTAACGTTAAAGCAAATTAGGGATGCAAACTAGCTAATGAGATTATTCTTTTGGATTTTGATGTACAAATGTAATGCTTGTAATAATACAGAAGGGAGACGGTTCTCATGTTGCCTATTATTTATGTTAATTTCTACAAATGTATAAAGCAGTAAATTAAGACAC